AAATCTTTCACGGGCCGGGTTCGGGGCGGGGCATCCCCACCCCGCCCCGTGCCCCGCCCCGCGACGGGGCACCCCATATCGCCCCGCCCCGCCCCGCCAACCCCGTCGGGGCGGTTTTTTTCGCCCCATTCGGGGCGGGGCACCGTCGGGGCGGGGCGGGGCGGTTTTTTTTGCCATCCCTAAAAAAAATCATGTACATGCAGGTTTATTGTTGTCTAAGGGTCTGTTCGGTATAATTTAAAATCCAATTAAAATTGATAATATGGCCATTATTGGGTCCCACCCGTCTAATAAAAGTCAACAATAACGACTAATTTCTCAATTTTAATTCAATTTTAATCTCTACCGAACACGCCCTAAATTTATAAATTAGTCCAATTTAAGAACGAGTGATTTTTCAAATGGAAGTTTATCTTGACTTACTCAATAAGTAATTTTTTAACAGAAAATTATCTTACTTGCCAAACAGGCTCTTTTTATATTGTTCTCTTTACTTTCGCAGTGTATCATTAAAAATACCAAATTAAAGATACCATGACACACAACTTCATGTTACATACTTGCATTACACCACAAGTCCACAACGAGTAAGTAACTTATTACATAAATTGATGTTAATTTAAGTAACTTATTACATAGCGCGAGCATTACAAGAGATTTTGTAACGATGTTTTGAGGTATATAGCGCGAGCATTGCACTAATGAGTAGCATCTGTATATCGTGTAATTTTATAATTGTGTTTCGAGATAGAATTTTATTTAAATTTTTGTAGTTCGATAGAAAAATACAAATAAAATATAATAATATGACACTTGAAATAGAACCCATATTTAATGGTGATTCAAATCTTGATTTTTATATAAGTCAAAATCGACAATTAATTTGAATCACATATTTGTAAAATTCACAAATTTTCAATTACGTATTTCATCAATTTTTATCAAAATCTGTTAAAAACTTGATTTTAATTCTCACTAAACATGGGCATAATGCAATGTATCATTAGTCGGTCCTGTTTGATGGCCATTTTTTTAGGAATAATGAGTTTTTGAATAATAGTTTTTTTTAGAAAATATGTGATTAAAAAATAAGAAGTTTTTTGGATTTACGTGTAAAAAATTTTATTATGAAAATGCGATGTTAAAAACAAGTAAGAAAAAAAAATTTTGAAAAAATTGTTAACAAATAGAGGCTCGACTATTACAATGGTCACATCATGTATCGTTGAATTTAAAGTGCTTAATTAATCGTTAAAAATGTAAATCTATAATATATTTCACATTAAGTGACAATCCTTTACGATTTTAATCCTACTACAATTCAATTATTTCAATAATACATTACTTTTCATTTTTCAATATATAATTAATACTACACAATCTTGATCTAGATGAATATAGGGTTTTATTATAAATAAATTTATTTCTATTCACGTATTTAGAAATTTTAATGAGAATCAAATGTAGCAATTTCATGTTGCTCATTTGTAATATTTCATAATCACAAAAAATTGAATTATAAAAGTTGAGTTTTGAGAGTACAAATTTATTTTCTTAAATTTATATATTTAGTTCGTTTGAAACTCATCAAATCCTACTGACAAATTGATATCAAATATTATTTTTACAGTACTTATAAAGTATTTCAAAATAACGTACAATGCACGTTCAGCTCTGACTAATAAATATAAACGTGTGATAAATAAGTGAATAATACTCATGACTCTTTCAAAATATATAGATAAATCAATTATAATTATAAACATGAGTAACATAACTCTATTAGACAATTTTTTTAAAATCAGATTAAAATTGAAAAAATATATTATTAAAAATGAGTACGTAGCTCAAACATTGGCTAAGGGCGTGTTCGGTAGAAATTAAAATTGGATTAAAATTGAAAAATAAGTCGTTATTGTTGACTTTTATTAGATAAGTGGGACCCAATAATTACTATATTTTCAATTTTAATTGAATTTTAATTACTACCAAACATGCAAACTGATATATAATATATCCGGTTACTGTCCTCACGTGATATTTTAGTCGTGTTAAATGATGCAACATGCGAAGGGAATGATTTGTTTGTGAGCCCCACCAACACCACCTAAACACGTATTACATGTTGAGACAAGGAAAGAGTACGTGGATGATGCAATCAATTATGACCAGTATTACTTGTTCGAATTCATCGACCAATTACCTCTAAAGTATGATTTCTCCAGTTTTTTTTTTGGTTCGTCCCTTAAAACATTGTCCTCCTTTGAAGCTTTATTTATTTTTCAAACAATATTCTTAATGTTAAAATTTTACGATATATTTTACTTGTGTTTAAATAGGGTACTGGACCACTCAACATTTTATCGATATTCAATAGTTTGACCGGTAAAATATATTTAAGGCGTGTTCACGAGCATTAGAGTAACATGTTGCAAAAATTACCATTGGTCCATTGTGTATATTAAGGGTGATCTGTCGTGATTATTTGGGTGAAGAAGATATGTATATTTGAGTGTGGGGCGAGAAATGTAGGATGAGAATAGGGGTGTTCGGATTGAAGAGAGAGTACCGAATTTACAATATGTGGATATAGTGCTTACTATTTCATTGTCGGATAACCTTTCATTTGGGAAGCACGAGCGTGGGTTTTTATACCAAAAGATAAAAAGTGAGGTTCATTTGATATTTGACACGTGATCTCATCTCAGCGACTTACTAATCAAATTTTGACAATCTTAGTTGTCATAGGCACATGACCGTCTAACACAAACTGAAACACACGGTCAACATGTCATAAAAAAGCAATATGAAGAAGTTTCCCTTCATGGAGTATGTTTTGGCTGATGTGGTATTTGCAAAAGATATCCTCGATAGAAGTATACCTCCTAAAAAATACATTGCATAAAGAGGTAGTATCTAACCTCGGAAGTACCATATCGAACGTAAGTGATATCACGTTGAGAAAGGTGCCCAACAACCTTAGAGAGATGTGGGAGAACTAGGCAGGATGTAGTGTGGATTTTAAGTTGCTTAGCTAGCTGCTACATGACCTAGAACTGGACAAAACTTTCGAACGGAATCGATCGAACCAAATTCGAATCGAACTGAACCGAACATGTGATTTTTCTTAAATTAAAGATCCAAACGGATATCTGAATCGACAAACCAACGGATTTGATTCGATTATCAGTTCTAGACCAATAATAGAAGAACGAAATATTTCTATTTATTTATTTATCTTAAATAAATCAAAATATTTTATTTTTTAAATGAATTTGCTAACTAATTAATTTAGCTCAAAATCTAATTATGATTTTCTTATTTATAATTTCCAATCCAAGTCCAATTAATCAAATTGAGATAAATTTTACCGAAATCTTTTATTTTATCGTAGTGTCGTTTTTATCATTACGGAGAAATCGGATTGGAAACCTCTATTTACTATTCGTGAGATTGCCATATTCATATTCTTGTGATTTTAACTATCAACTTATGAATTACTCAACAAAGAGAGGCACAAAAGATATTATGATATTGGACTATATTATTTTATAAGAGCTAAAATTGAATATATCATTAGTTGAATTAATATAGCGTTGTTGTAAATATTAAAAAAATTAATTATTATATGGATCCGGATAACCGAATGAAATTGAAATGAACGGAACGGAACTGTTCCATAATTAAATTTGGACATGATTGTTTCATTTACTAAATACCCGAAAATTCGGGTTCGATTCGATTACCTGACCATATCTAGCCCTAACATGACCTACTTCGTGAGATGAGGCATAACAACTAAAGCTATGCTAAGTGTACACCCCGGCTGACAGCCCTCTCACAGGGTGTGAGACCGCGACTATTTTATAATCAACAGCCCACCTCCCATGTGAGAGGGTTGTCACGCTGTACACTCAACTTGAAACTAACAACAATAATAGAAATGCTATGATTGTTATTATTTTAATGAAAGCAATTAAACTTCGTTGTTTTGATTTTGTTAAAATTTCATTAACATGTTAAAAGAAGAATAAGGACAGTTCTATTCCAATCGTTGACTCCACCCCATTTGTCCCATCCTATTGTGTTCTGTCCCCATTTAATAATTTTAATCCCCTCGTCTACTTTACCCTACAATGTATGTTTTGATTCTCCCATTCTCACTTGTCCCAAACCCTCTATACCATTATGCTCAGTTTGATAGTAGCCATGACGACACTAGTCGTTCATTTTTTTCTCTCTCTTTCTTATTATCTCTTCAATTTTTCTAAGCATTCTCTTTTACTTCAAATTCATTTTTCAATTGAAATTAAAAGCCAATTTATTTATTAGAAATCAAGACGACACATTGTGCTGCAAATTTCTTGAATGCTACCCTTAAACATGGTCATCTATCTTATCATTTGAACTAGACATTGATTTTACGCATGCCTTCAATTAAAAATAAATAACTCTTTTTATTTTTTTAGTTAGGTAAGGATACCCAATTCCACGAGTCACTATCACACGCATCGCTAGAGGGTATCGCTAATGCACCTAAGCCGACATGAAGTGGCGCACCATAGGCTGTTTCTAGATTAGGGTTTCTCCTCTCTCGCTCACTACGCTTAAAACAAAGAGGGCAAATTTTATGGTAAGATCTCTGCAACCGATCTAGAAATTTCCTTGCTTTCCTCGATTTTTATGAAGATTTTGAGATTGTTCCGTTTTCTCACTTCGAAACAGAAATAAATTGCCAAATAGGAAAAACCCTAAGCTTAATTCTAGGTTTTCAGTGAAGAAATGGATGAAAATGAATCTGGCGAGCAGTTTCATCGGAATGAAGCCATATCGGCTGTAGCTGACGAGGGTTTCCTTGGCGAAGAGGAAGATGACTACGAAGATCTGTATAATGATGTTAATGTTGGTGAGAACTTTCTTCAGTCGATTAGGAAGAACGAGGATAATCTAGGTCAGAGAAATGAGCAAGTGCCGGAGAACAAGGCCGAGCCGATTCCTCCGCCGCGTCAAGCACCGCAGCCGGTAGTGGAGAGTCGGGGTGGGGCTGTGCAAGACGAGGGAGAGTCGACGAGGGTTCCTGTTGGAGCAGAGGCGCATCAGAATTTGGGGTTTAGGGGGAATAATAGTAGTAACGAGATTGGGGCTGGTAGAGGTTTGGGGGTGACAGGTGGAAGTGGATTGGGGATTCCAGGTGCCGTGGGGCTTAGGGTTGAACTAAAGCAGTCATCCAACAAACCAGCTGAGTTCGAAGAGCAGACTGTGAATAACAGTACTCCAAATAGTCAACAAATGGTTCAGCATCAGCAGCCTCGTGCAGCCAATATTGTAGCTGCAGCAAACCCTGTAAATGTTGCAATCGGGGGGAATGTGCATGGGACTTCAGGATACATGCCTGGAAGTGGCGTAGGCGGCGGGACTGGGGCTGGTGCAGGTGGTGGTGGTGGAGGAACAATTCTTTTTGTTGGTGATTTGCATTGGTGGACAACTGATTCTGAGCTGGAGGAGGAGTTAAGCAAGTATGGGCCAGTAAAGGAGGTGAAATTTTTTGATGAGAAAGCTAGTGGGAAGTCAAAAGGGTACTGTCAGGTAGATTTTTTTAACCCCGATAGTGCCACTGCTTGTAAGGAAGGAATGAATGGGCATATATTTAATGGACGGCCATGTGTAGTTGCATATGCCTCGCCCTATAGTATTAAGAAAATGGGTGAAGCTCAGTTGAATAGAAACCAAAATGCAGCCCAGCCAGCAGTTAATCAACCGCGAAGAGGGCCTGGAGATGTGCCAGGTAAATCTGGTGGCGGTGGCGGCAACATGGCTATTAGTGGGAATTATCAAGGCAATGGTGATGGTCACAGAGGTTTTGGGAGAGGGAATTGGGGTAGAGGTAATGGTCAAGGAGGTATGGGAAATAGGGGGCCTATGGGGCCAATGAGGAACAGGGGTGGTGGAATAGGTGGTCGTGGTTTAATGGGAAATGGTAATGGATTTGCGCAGGGGCTAGGTGCCACTCCTCCATTATTACATCCTCAAACAATGATGGGTCAGGGATTCGATCCTGCTTTTGGAGGCCCCATGGGGCGAATGGGTAGTTATGGAGGATTTCCTGGTGCGCCTACCCCACCCTTTTCTGGAATGTTATCTTCATTTGGACCTGTTGGAAATGTTGGTTTGCCTGGTGTTGCTCCCCATGTGAATCCGGCATTTTTTGGGAGAGGGATGCCCATGAATGGTATGGGCATGATGCCTGCTCCTGGATTTGAGGGGCCTAATATGGGCACATGGTCGGATCCTAACATGGGTGGATGGACAGGCGATGAGCATGGTGGGAGAGCAGGAGAGTCTAGTTATGGAGAAGAAGCTGCATCTGACCATCAGTATGGAGAAGGGAGTCATGATAAAGGGCCTTGGCCAAATGATACAAAAGAGAAGGACAGAGGTTCAGAAAGGGATTGGTCTGGATCTTCAGATAGGAGGTACCGAGATGATAGAGAACCAGGCTATGACAGAGATATGCCTCGAGAAAAAGATACGGGGCATGATCATGAGTGGTCAGAAAGGAGGCATCGCGATAGCAGTGTTAGTGCGCGAGACAGGGAGAGGGAGCGGAATCCTGGTCATTCTCGAGACCGTGAGCGTGAACGTGGGAGGGACCGGGACCGTGATCGTCATCGGGATGACAGAGATGGATATGCTGATCATCATAGGTACAGGGACCGGGAGCCAGAATATGATGATGAATGGGACAGGGTAAGATCATCCAGGACTCACAGCAAATCAAGACTATCACATGAGGAAGAGCGTAGGTCAAGATCAAGGGATGCTGATTATGGGAAGAGGCGACGCCTAACCTCTGAGTAATCAGGTGTTCACTGCATCTCTCAGTATTGTAGTTCAGAAAGAAACTGGAAAATGATTAGGTATTAGGTAAACTATGAGTATGGGTTAACCATGATCATTTAGACACTTTTACTAGCTGCTTTCTTGGATACCTCGCTTCAGTGGACACTGAACAGTCATTCTCTTCAATATCTTCCCTGGCTTCTGTGTTGTGAAATCTGTGATGGCTCCTTCTGAAGGATTATGGTTTTTCTCAGCACATGAATAAAGTGAGCTGTTTCATTACGCGCATCTCTTTTACATTTTGCATACCGTAATTGAACTCTTTGGCAGTTAGCATTTGTCTTGCATGTTTGCCTCGATATAATGGGAAGATCTTCTGTTTTGTAACTCCTTAGAGAAAGCCATAGCTTTGCACAATCACGCAGAGACATGTACCTTTAAGCAACAGAAATGATGAATTTGTTTCTGCTTTGATTGACTCTTGTTGTCCCCACTATCCTCGACCCTACCCCTTCTGAAAATTTAATGAAAACTGAATCCCACTGCGTGGCCAAAACCAAAATGTGACTTATCAATATGAACATTATTTTCAAAGTTATGCTTTGTAAGTAAAGCCTTCAGGCTCAAGTCATACTTTTGGCTTGCTACAAGCTGGGCTCAAAGGCCCCACAGAATATCTGCTATCAAATCACCTAATATCTTGCAGAATATGATATTTTGCACATGATGTTGTAGTCTTACCTTTGGCAAATTTGTACATTACTGTCTTTCCTTTTTGTTCGTATCTGTAAGTTGGTGATTGCACATCATTAACATTTATGTAATTGGTTAATTATAGTTGTGAGTTCTCTATCGAGTCTTTACAATTCAGTTTTTATCTAATTGAAGGCTTGTGTAGCAGTTCGGAAATTTGTACACTGCACTAAATAGAAAACATCTGATCTTGTTAAGTAAACTGTGTTGGAAATATCATGTGTTCTTCGTACGCTTGGTTTTGCATGGATATTTGTGGGTTAAACGGGAGGGAATTAAATTTTTAGTCTGAGCATAGTATTAATGCGACCAATCCTTGTGGAACTTACTCAAAATTAGGAGGTATCCTTTTGCCTAAAAGTTAGCTGCCCCATGATTAATTATTCTATCATTGGTTTTGATAGGTCATGGCTAATTGGCTACTGAGATATGTGCGTAGGGGTTTGATTGTGTACTATACCTTTTTTTATTTAGTAAATTTATTGGTTGTGCACTTTCATGCATCTCCTAATTCTCATATTTTGTATTTCTCTTGTTATATTGAACACATGTTACTCACCCAGAAAACTTTGGAAGACGAATATTTTCTCACCGTTGAGAAACCTCAAAAGGCCTTTTTTTTTAAAGGAAAAAACCTGAAAAGTAGTATGTAGTTGATAGGATTCAGTGAAATCTCTCTCCCTTTTCATTTGCACTCCAGAAGCTCATGAAACATTCAATACATAAATCAGTATGTAGTTGCCCCCTCCCCTAGCGTAAAGGCCTCGGAAGAGAAGCTTGTTTGGTTGTAGTAGTATTTGGAGGAGAAGTGGAAATGTCCAGTTATTCTGGTAACGGAAGAGGGTGTGACAGAAAAGTGGAGCTTCCAAATTGGAATGACTAGACCAAATAATACTAAATTAACCTCAATTATAATATAGTTGGAAACCAAGGGTATGACAGAAAGTTAAAAAAAAATGTTAAAACACCTCAATTTCTCTTCTCCTTCCCTTCCACTTCACCAATTCTTTCTTCCACCAAACAAAGTAGTGGAAAAATACACCTGTAAAATTGTGTGCGGCATGGTGTCGCTGAAACAAGGGTACGAAATTACAAATGGCAAGTTAGAGGGAAAATACTTGCATATATGAGGTTACACACTTTTTACTTGGGGAAGTATACATCTCCCTTCCTTCTCCCTTTCCCTTGCTATCCTCTCTCGATGAACCGAAGATAACCCGAAGGAAAGGATAAGATCTCTTGTAGACTAGGATGGAATGACATGATTTCAAATTTGACAAAGTCGTGGTGTAATTGAAGCACAATTTATTCTAGCAATGCAGTAGTTTGATGGATGGGGATTTCACTAGGGAATCTTTTGCTTATTCTTCCTCACACCCCACCACCACCAAAACAAGAAAATGGCAAAAAGCTATTGAGAGGATTTAGAGGGTGTTTAGTGGGGATTAAAATTAGATTTTTAGTAGATTGTGATAGAAGTTTTTGAAATATATGGTTAAAAAGTTGTGGGACTCATGAAAAATGTAGTTAATATTGATTGTTTGACTTTGACTTTGACTTGATTAAAATCTGACCAAACAAGGGCATAAACTCAATGAAGTACACTACTTGTGAACCACTATATTTCAAGACAGAGGTTGATAATTTGTTACTATTTTACGTTTAATTGATATCGTTTTCTCTTTTAATTGTTAGATGGAAGTGTATGATTCTGGAGCTGTTCTACTGGAAGTCTGGATGGATGGGCGTAAAGCTTTATTTTGGAAGATGATATGACATGGTGACACCTCTTGGTCAGGATTGCGCTGCAAGTCGAACCTTTTAAGTATTCGAACATTTCATTTATCTTTTTGTTTAATGTCTCGCTTGAACAATCTAATGTTGTGGATGACGATTATGGGCTTGAAACGCTGAAGTGTTGAGAACTGGTGATTAATTTAGAATGTTGCTATTTGAATGTGATGTATTAGGATTGAAGACAGGATGTTAAGCTTGTGCCCCCTTCTCTGTTTTTATTCTTTTTTTTTTTTTTGTAACTTTACCCCCCTTTTCTTAGGTTTACTGGGTTAAACATGCCATTTATGTGAAGATTATGTAGAATGTAACTATACAATCAAGGGGATTATTTAACCCAAGAATTGTATGTCTCTAAATCACTTGTATATATTGCAAAGAAATCAATCTTTTTTGAGTTATGTGCTAGGAATTGTCCTTTTCGCAAAATGTACTATGTTGTTTTAGAGTAATATACTATCTATTTCTATTACTAAAGAAATCCCTTGTTGCATTAAGTGTATTAAGATTTATCACGCCATCGGACAATGAATTAGGAAACTCGTTTTTACCGATCATTTTGTTTTAAAATATCTACTAAAGATAGATATTCTTTTTATTAAGGATTATGCTGTTGGTACCCGGGCATTTACATGCCCGGGTACACGGGCCCACAGCCCCTCTCACAATGAGGGGGGCCC